GGGGGCCTTGCCATCATCATCTGTGAAATGTGAAACCAAGACCCCACCCCCGACCCCACCCCCTGTCTCACGGGGCTGCCAGGAGGACCAAAGGAGACTTGGATGAGAGAATGCTTTTTTAAAACTGTTAATGCTGGACAAGCAGAAAGAATTGTTTAGTTTTCCCAAAGTAATTACTAGGAATCTAAAGCACCAAGAATCCTAAATTACTAGGTATCTAATTACTAAGAAAAAACAAATGTACAGGAAGTACAAAAGCTGACACAGGTGGTTTTAGGTTCCTTACTCTAATGTGACAAAATAAGCCAGGCTCTCATCCTATAGACTGACAGGTCTGGCTACAAATGGGTTTGACAGGCAGAATCGATCGGGTATCCACACTTCAGTCCCACATGATTTAGGAACTGGGCCAGGCCAGTGTGGGACCCCGGGCAGAGGGACCCCTTTTCAGCGGCACTGTGAGAGCTGCTCTGGCCCCCTCCGCCCGCTCGGACCCGGCTCCGGTGAGGGAGGAAGGCTTGCCCCCTGCTGGCCCCACCGTCTGCAGGGAGGCCTCAGGCTGACCTGCCTGATCCACAGGGGCAGCGTTCGTCCCTCTGGGGCCTCTTTGGCTCTAGGCCCTGAAGCCCAAGCCCTGACCAACGTCAAGTTTCTCTGACCCCGCCGGAGCTCGGAGTCCTCCCCAGCTCCCCAGGCTTGCGCTCGGGCCTCCTGGAAATGGGCCTCTCACTTGGTTACGCACCCTCTGGTTTCTGGCCAGCTGCTCTAAAGTGTCAGAGGCCGGGGAGGGCCGGGCTCCAGACACTACCCCGGCAGTGCAGGGAGCATGGCCCCTCGTCTCAAGGAAGCAGGAGCAGGGAGGGTCTCAAGGACCAGGGCTGGGAGTGGCCCCCTGCCCTGATCCCCCCACCATGCCCCCCTCTCCCTCATTCTAAGAGGCTCAGTGTGGAGGACTGGAAAATGAGGAGCTGGCCATCGGGAGGGAGGAGACAGGAAGGCGACGCCCCGGGATTTCTCACGGCATCCCTCACACCTTGGCTTCGGGTAGCCGCGGCACTTGGCCTTCGTCCCGCCCCAGTCTCCAAGCGGCAATTTGTCCCTCTTCTTCGCCCGGGCGTTTATCCCCTCCTGCTTCCATTTAGGTTCAGCTCATCCCTCCCGAGCTTCCCCAGCAGCCCCACCCTACACCCCGGAGAACTGCTGCTCTCTAAAGCCACGACGGTCTGTCTGTCCTCGTGGGGTTTGCTTCTGTGCTCCTTAAAGGAATTTTGAAAAGAAAAAGAAAAAAAAAACCTATGTACCATCTCACATGTGTTTTAAATTGACAGCTAAGATTTTTGTGTGTGTGTCATGAGTTTAAATCATTGCAAAGGGTATAGTTTCTGAAATGCTTTAGATCCTGTGACGTTTTAAAATAAAACCATTCGGGCTTTTTAATGTGCGTTCAATGAGATCTAAACATCACCGTGGTCTGCTGTCCCCTACGATTCGTTGAAATGTGTATAATATAAATATGTGAGAGAGGATGAAACTTTCCTCTAACCTCAAGTTTCTTTCGGTTGGTCTAATAACCAAGTAGACTCGAGACAGGTTAGCAAGATAGACAAATTCGATGATATGTCTGTGTGAAACCTGTAAGCCCGGGAGAGTCGAAGATCCCACATGCACAAAAGGTTCAGTGACACAAAGGGGAAAAGGTTGTATAACACTTCTGAGCTGGGGACCAGGCGAGACGCCTTGGGACCGTCAGGAGGTCATTGCAGGGTGACAAGAAAAGCAGACGTTTACGAAACAGAACTTTGTCCTGCCCCGTAAATAGGCCAGAAGAGGTTTTCTCTGATAATCTGTTATTACGGGCAAGGCCCTTAATTCAAGTTCTTCCACGTGGTTAAGGGAGGGACAGAAGTTTCTCTTAGCCCATGGCTAAAGTTGCCTTTAGCTCAAAACAATATGCATACCACAGAGGCACATCTTGGGGCGACTCGTTGTGAACTCCCACAATAAAACAACCAGACAGAATCAATAAAGAAACAGAGGGGTTGGATAACCCTACACACCAACGGGCCTAACGGACACATACGAAGCACCCCACCCAACACCAGCAGAATATACTTTCTTCTCAGGTGCAGACGGACCGTCCTCTGGGACAGATTACCTCTTAGGCCACCAAACAAGTCTTAATAAATTGAAGCAGATTGGAATCATAACGAGTATCTTTTCCAATCACAGTGGAATGAAACTGGAAATTAATAGCGGTAAGAAAATTGAAAAATTCACAAATATGTAGAACTTAAACAATACAACTAATGGATCAAAGAAGAAATCACAAAGGAAGTTAGAAAACACCTTGAGACAAATGAAAATGAAAACACAGCATAGCAAAACTTATGGGACGCAGCAAAAGCAGTACTAAGAGGAAAATTTATAGCAGTAAACACCTACATTTAAAAAAGGATGAAGAGGGTTTTTAGAGGTGTGAAAATACTCTGTACAATATTATCCTGATGATGTGGGTGTTTAGAATGAGTCACCCCGAGATGTACCTCTGTGGTGTGTGTATCGTTTTGAGCTAGAGGCAACGATGACCCCATACGCTCAAGAGAAACTTCTGCCCCCACAATCAGCCGAGTGAAATGGCAACCTATGGAATGGGAGAAAATGTTCGCAAGCTATATATGAGATAAAGGGTTAATATCCGGAATAGACAAATAACTCCTTCAACTCAATAATAATAATAAATAACCCGGTTTAAAACATGGTCAAAGGACTTAGACATTTCTGCAAAGCAGAAGTACGAAGGGTCAACAGGAATATGAAAAGATGCTCAACATCGCTATTCGTCAGGAACATGCTCATCAAAACGGCCATGATTCACCATCTCACATCCATTAGGATGGCCGCCGTCAAAAAAGAGAAATGACCAGCGTTGGCAAGAACGTGGAGAAAGCGAAACCCTCGTGCACTGTTCGTAGCCATGTAAAATGGTGGAGCCAGCCGCAACCTAACGCAGTATGAAAGTTCCTCAAAAGTGTAAAAATACAACTACCATATGACCCAGCAATTCCACGTCTGGGTGTGTGTCCAAAAGAATTGAAAACAGAATCTCTAACAGAGATTCACGTTCCCGTGTCTGTGGCCGCGTCCGTCACGACAGCCGAGATGTAGTAGGCGCATCCGAAATGGCCACGGACGGACGCGTGGATCACGGAAACGCGGTCCGTTAGTGGAATATTACTCAGCCTTGAAAGACAAGGAAATTCTGTCATACGCGACTACGTGGATGAACCTCGCGATCACGCTCAGTGAAATAGGCCGGTCACAGAAGGACAAATCCTGCACGATTCCCCTTCTGTGAAGTAGCTAAAGCCACCGGATTCACGGGAGCACCACGCAGAAGGGTGACCAGGGACAGGGAGGGGCAGTGGGGAGTTGTCGTTCAGTGGGTAGAGTTTCCGTCACGTGAGATGAAGTTTCCGGGGATCCGCTGGACAGGGTGCATGTTGTTAACAACACTGGGGTGCACTCAGAGCGTGTTACGAGGGTAAATGTGTCATGGGTTTTTCACCCCAATTGTTACACGCACACGCACACGCACACGCACACGCACACACACAGATTTGCAAATGCATTCGAGCAAAACCGTCTGTGACTGTGCATCTTTTGAAAAATCTTAAACCTTGGGGTACACTGCTCTGGGTTGAAAACCAGGGGTACAGAGCCCAGCAGGCTAGATTTCCTGCCATTTCCCTACCTCCCTGTGGCGCCCGTCCCTCCATCCCTCTGTCCCTCCGTCCTTCCGTCCCTCCGCGGCTCTCTCAGGCCAGGAGCAGTGAGGAGCAGGGCAGCTGGCGTGGTCCCCCCCCCACCAGCCGCAAGTGGTACTTTCCTTGCCCCTCCCGCCTTGTACCCCTACTTTTCTCATCCCATCAACCTCTCTGTGGATCAGAGGATTCGAGGCCTTGGCACAGTCGCGGCTCAAGCCTGGGGGTCACGGCCCTCTCCCGGCCGGCACTGCAGTGAGGACCAGGTGGACACAGGGTGTGCCCGGAAGGCGAGGTGGAGTCTGAGTCTGGGCCAGGACAAGACGTGGCCCTTTCCCAGAGCTGGGAGGGGGGAGCTGCTGGGAGCAGCTCTCCTGCTTCCTCGCTCTGCCCTTGGAGTTTCTCTGGGAGAGTCCCCCTTGCCTCAGGCGCCCCGGGCAAAGACCACCAAGCTTGAAGAGGCTCCAAGGTGTGGAGAGGTTTTAATAAGCATCACAAAGGGACTGGGCCGAGGGGGACACAAACTCCAAATCCAGCCTTTTCTGCCATGCTTCCGCAGCTGAGCAGGAGGGAGGGGGCTCCACCCTGCTTAGCTGTTCCCAGCCCGAGAGACGGCTGCTGGGCAGGTCCCGGAAGGCTCCTGCACCCAGCAGAGGAGCCCAGGGGACAGAGCAGCCAGGAGCAGGAAGACCTGGGGCAGCGACCAGACCGCGGGAGGTCAGGAGAGACGCAGAATCCGGTGGGCACATCAGCCGCCAGAAGGGGGGATGGGCTGAGGAAACTCTCGGGGTCTCTGAACAGCACGAGATCTCACAGAGGGGCTTCCAGGGCCTGCTGGCTCCAAGGACTGAGACCCTTGGGGGGCACCCTCAGGGAGACGCTCTGAAGTAACATCACACCTTCCCCCTGCTCGGCAAAGGTCAGCAGAAGGTCTGGAGGGAGAAGTTGAGGACGGGGCCTGGGTGGGCGGGAGGCTGAGGAGGGAGCGTGGGAGGAGCACGAGGGGCCGGGCGTCGGGCATCCGGGCATCCGGGCATCCGGGCCGCGGCAGGCGGGGTGGTCCTCTAGCTGCTGCTCTGCTGCTCCTGCTGGCGGATGAGGTTGGCGATGGGGCTGGTGATGCCGCCTATCAAGGTCCAGTACTCGTCGAAGCTGATGCGGCCGTCGTGGTTGGCGTCCAGGTTCTGGATGAGCTTGTCAGCAGCCTTCCGGTTCCTTGTGTCCTGGGGAGGAACCGGGGTGAGCAGTGCTGAGCGCGGCAGAGCCCCAGACGGAGCCCCCGCAGGGGCTGGCCACCACAGCCAGAATCCTCACTGCCTGGGAGACAGGAGAGAGGCCTGGGCGCGGTCGAGACCGTGGTTTTGGGGGGGAAAGAGGCTGCCGTGGGGAAGGACCCCTCAGGGGACAAGGGCTTCGGGCGGCCTCACCGTCAGCATGTGGTTGAGCTCCTTCTGCAGCATCTTCCGGAAGCTGCTCTTGCTGATCTTGTTCTTGACCAGGCTGTGCTTAGACACGTACTTGTAGAAGTTCTCCACCAGGACCACGACCGCCTTCTCCAGCTCGGTGTAGCCGTCCTCCATGGCGGCGCCTCACTCCCCACGGGGCCTGCGGCGCGGAGAAGCGCGGGTGAGCCCCCCACGGCCACGCCTGGCGCGCATGCCTGGGCCCCCCCACCACCACGCCCGCCGAGGGAGGGAGCCGGAGAGGGAGGCCCAGGGTGGGCGCGGGGGCGGACCTGGAATGACAGCTATGTGCTGCTCTAACCCAGGTGCTCCCCACTCAACCGCCTTAACAGGTTCTCCAGGCCCTGCCCCTGCCCCTGCCCCTGCCCGTGCCCCAGGCGCCCGGCTTGTCAGAGGCCCAAGAGATCAAGAGGCTCCGTGGGAAGAGCGCGCCCGTGCCTCCGCCCTCGGCACCCTGGCCCTCCCGTCCACTGTCCTGGGAGCCAACAGTCAGGACCTGCTGGGAGCCGCCAAGGGGCTGGCGCGGCAGGAGCCAGGGTTCCCCCAGCAGGACCCGCGGAGACTCCAGCACCAGGCAGCAAAGCAGGCGGCAGGAACCTCCCAGTCCCTTCGGCCAGGCGCCAGGATAGTGAGTCCAGGGCCTCAGACGTCCTGAGCCATTGAGTAGGACGTTCCGTAGGCCCCCGGCCTGGCCCTCCTCACGCCCACACTGAGACATACAGCAGGACCCAAGAATCCCTCATCCCATCACCAAAGGAGGAGCCAGGCCCGGTCTGCCCAGCTGGAGACAGCCGCAGGCAGCCAAAGGCCACAGTCACCCCCTTGCCCCAAGACAAAAGGCACTCACATCGCCAGCGGATACAGCCTTCTGAATAACAGGATATGAAGGGAACTGGCGGATGTAGGATGCAATCTGTGAGTCGCCGCCCATGCCCAAAGCCCCCCCAAGTGAACCCGGGCAAATGAGCCTCCCCTCCCGCCCCCAAGCCCAGGAATGAGCCGCAGCCACCGTGCCCATCGGGTCCCGGCACGGGAAGGTAGACACGGCCGGCGTCCACGGGAAGCAGGTCGGCTTCGCCAGGCCTCTCCACAGCCCCCCGCCCCTGCCCCTGCTCCCTAACCGTCTGGTGGCCGTCATCTTCCCGCGCCCCACACCTGCCCGCTCTGCCTAGCTGAAGCCTGTGCGAACCACACCTCCCGCGGGAAGCCCGCCCTGAACCCTGCCCTCCGCGCCCCCCTCCCCGGCTCCCACAGACTCTCGGCCGCACTGGCCGGGGCCACCAGCCAGTGTGGCCACGGCATCTTCCTGGGTCTTGTCTCCCCAGACACCAGACATCCTTGGGAGCAAGAAGAGGGTTTCTGACACACAGCCATTGTGTTTTCTGAACCGAACGGAAGGACTCTAGGTTTGAGGACAACATTTTTAAAGCCTCCCTGTTTGAACCCCCCGCATCTCCCCTGGCCCGCGCTGCCCGGCCCAGCGCTTGGCTCGAGGTCGGGACTGCATTAACTTTCCACTTCCCTCCAGCTTCCAAACCAGGTACCGCCCGAAGCCCCCACCTCCCTTCTCAGAGTTTCCTCCCGCAAAGCTTTTTTTTCTGAAGGGAGCGTGAGATGAGGCCCGGACGCAGGAAAGAAAGAGCTGAGAGGCCAGGCCGGGGCGCCTCTGACCGAATCCTGCCCTGGTCTCCCCTGGTCTGGGGCCGGAAGGGCGAGTACGGAGCCTGGGCTGCGGGAAACTATGTTCCTTCTCCATACTCTATCTATTAAGCGTGTCGCCGTGTGGTTCAGTGTTTGTGCCTCTGTAAGGTGTTCGTGCAGACCCTCTAACATCCACGGATGAGGAGGGAACATTTTTTTCAGTCCATGAACTGTGCGCTCCGCTGCCCTTGGGTGGGGCGTGGCCTTGACACTTGACCCTGTTCCTGCGAATTCTGAAAGCCCAACCCATTTCAGCAAGGACCGTGCCGAGTCTACGCTCAACCAAGCTTCTCGGGCAGGGAGAGGGTTCGGAGAACGCCCCCACCCTGAGCCATCCCAGACCTTGATCCCCGAATGAGGAATTTTGTGGGAAATAGGAAAAGGAACAGAAATCAGTTTGGAGGGGGCGTGCCACGCCCCCTCCTCCGGGCCCACCCAACCCTCCCGCCACCTGCCTTCTAGAAATCTTATTTCTCTGAGGAGGGCGCCTCCGGCCCTTCCTCCACACCCCGCCCCAGCCCCTACTGCCTCTGGCAGCCAAGCAGGCAAGACCCAGGTAAGCACCCAGATGACAGTGAGCCACCTGCTGTCAGGTGTGCGATCGCCCCTGAGAGGCAGCTTCAGCAGTTCTGGGTGTCAGTTCCCAGGCCTCCCAATGGTCGGGGGGTCACCTTCCTTTAGTCGTATAGACACCGCGAGACACATCGGGATAAGTGTCCTTCTGAGGGAAGGTGTCGGTGTCTCCACTGGTCCTCTTCGTCCCTTCGCCCTCCCCAGGGGCCAGGAGACAGGCTTTGCCGCTACACCCAAGCCACGGCCAGCTGCCTGCTCTACCCGCCCACCAACCAGGCTGGAGGGTCCCCAGGCACGGGATTGGGGGGGTTCGGGGGAGAGGTGCAGTGTCCTGTCCTATAAGGAGGTGGGTCCTGCATTGACTTTGCCACAGGTAGATCCTGGCCTGAGAGTTGGGAGGAGGTGACATTGGAGCCTTCCAAAAAGTGGGGGTGGGGGGGACCACTTTCTCCAAAGGGCCCTGTCACCCGGGGCCCTCGACCCTTCCCCAGGCTTCTCATTGGCCTGTCTTTGGCTGAGTCATCACTGAGCAACCAAGAGGCCCCCCGTCCCCACCCTGCCCACCTCAGCCCGGCTTGCTGACTTCTCCAAACACCCAGATTTCCCCGACTCCGGGGCCCTGGGTCTGAGCCGCTCCAGCCCCCCGCACCCCAGCCCTAGGTTCCGGCCCCGCCCCTCCCAGTGCCTCTCGGCCACTTCACATCTCTTCAGCTCTCTCGTTCCCTTCAACCCGGAGCCCCGGACACCCACCACACCCCCCAAAATCCACCTTCTCTCCCCGCCCCTACACACACATTTCTCGAGTCTTAAATTGTGCCCAGGTGTTGGGAAATGGCCCCGGATTCCCACCCTCCTGGTCCCTGCCCCCTCCAGAGCCTGACCCACCCTCGAGCCTAAACTGAGCATGCTCCGCGTCCCTTCTGTCTACCTCGAATGCGTCCACTCGTTTATTCGCTGTGTGCGCATTCATTCATTCATTCATTCACTCATGGATGCGTCTATTCGCTCTCATTCATTCGCCCGCCGCCTTCAGTGTGCAGGGCAGGTGCAGCCCGCAGTGGGCTGGTGACTACACTGTCTGCAAGGCCGTTGCAAACTCGCCTCTCCACCCTCCGCGGCCAGTTCTCGGCCTCCCCTCCCCTCCCCACACTTTTACCCACTTCCAGAGGCTCCTGTCTCCCCCTGACACCCCTGCCTGGCCCTTCCCCACCCTCAGAGGACTCACAGGACACCCAGAGCGAGGAATTCTGCCATTCCCGAGCCCTCTGTGTGGACTACAGATCTCCACCTTCTACCCGCTTGTTTTCGGGTGGAGAAAGAAGCCTGCTCCTCTGAAGTGTTTTCCAGACAAGTGAAGTCGGATGAGTTTGGAGTGGACACACACATGCACGCGCACACACGCACGCACACCCAGAGAGCCCTCACAGGACACCCAGAGCGAGGAATTCTGCCATTCCCGAGCCCTCTGTGTGGACTACAGATCTCCACCTTCTACCCGCTTGTTTTCGGGTGGAGAAAGAAGCCTGCTCCTCTGAAGTGTTTTCCAGACAAGTGAAGTCGGATGAGTTTGGAGTGCACACACGCACGCACACGCACACACGCACGCACACCCAGAGAGCTGTTTCCTCGTGGATGGGGAAAGGCTGAGGCCTGCTCACCAGCACCCCTGCTCACCAGCACCCCTGCCCTCTCCCCCACCCGACAGGGCTGGGCAGGCGATGCTCCTGGAGGGGCAGGTGGCTCCACCAAACAAAGCCAGTCAAGCCTGAACCTGCCCAGGTCCGGGGCGGAGGAGCTGCCGGGGCTCCTGGCCCTTCTCCCAGGCTCCCCCAGGATGTCACCCCGGTTCCTCTGGGTCCCACCCACCCTCCTGAGGAACAGCTCCCAAGCACAGCGGGGCCTGCGTCCAGGACCTGCCTGTGGCCCGAGGTGGAGGGAAGCCACCTCGGTGCCTGACTTGTCCCCTCGGGTTCTCAGCTCCCTCGGCCCTCTCTGGGAGGGCCACCACCTCTCCGAGGACACAGCTCCCAGACCTAGCGTCAGGGTCTGATGGCCCTCAAGCCTCACCAGCACGCGTTCACCCTCTTCCTGTTAGGGGATCGTGGAACTGGCTGCAGGCAAAGCTCCTGAACACCCAGCCCGGAGGCGGCCCAGCCAGCAGCTGCTGGGCCTGGGCCGGGAGGGGGCCTCTCACAGCCCCACCTACCCCTCCGAAGGCCCTGCCAGCCCCGTCCCACCAGAACTCTCCACCAAGGGCCTTTGGGGAAAGTTAACAGTTAAGGAAAGCTCCCAGCCCGGCCCCTGGCAGGCGCCCTCCCCAGGCCCCCTCGCCGCCCCTTCTCTGGCCTCCCCAGCCTGCTGCGGGGCAGCCCCAGACCTCCGGGCCCGGCCGAGTGCTCACCTGCCTCCTGGTCCACCTCCTCTCCAGCAGGGCTCTGGGGTCTGGGCTCTGGCAGCCAGGGCCAGAGCTCCTCCCCGCAGCTCTCCCAGCGAGTGTCCCACTCCCGCCTGCCCTGCCTGGCTGAGCTGGCTCGGTGGGAGCCGGTGACTGCGCTCCCTCTGGACTTGGCCCTGGGGTTGGGCCCTTGTTAAAGCGGTACACACCTTTTTCAGCACCCCTCCGCACCCACCCCAGAGGGCGTGCAGGAAGCTGGCACTCCCACAGCCGTACCCTCCCAGCCCCGCAGGCCCGAGGGAGCCTACCAGCTGGGGAAGGAAGGGCAGGACTGTCACCTGCCCTGCTCACCTAGGTCACCGGGAACTCAGTTTCAGGAGCCCCAAACGGACAAGTTCAGTTAGCACTCCAGGCCAGCCGGACTGGCCGCACAGGCTTCCTTGGCCTCGGGACTTCAGGAGGAACGGCTGACTTCTGCCGGCTCAAGTCACCAAGGCAGACGCCAGGGACCGGACACGGGCGCCCCCAGCTCCCAGCCCCAGGCCAGCCTTCCAGGACCCCTCCTGACCCCGCGGGACCCCTCATGCGACACAGGTCTCCTCTGGAGACACCCTTCACCCCGTCCCTAAGGTACCCAGGAGACTGGCCATTCCACATCTGGTCGGCGCACACCCGACGCTGCTAAGTGCGGGGTGCCTTGTGTCGCCCTCACAGTCCTGGGAGGGCAGTGCCACGAGCCCCCCATGTTACAGATGAGGACACTGTGGAACATGCCACAGTCCCGAAGACGCGAAGTGGCGGAGCCGGGACTCAGCCGCGGGCCGCGAGCCTCGCCTTTCCCTCCGCGCTCATCGGCGGGCGGGCTCCACACACCTGGCTCACGCCCTTCGCCCAGGTGTGCACTCAGGACCTCCTCTCCTGTCCCAGGCCACAGCACCGGCACCGAGGAGCTCGTACCTCACGGAGGACCAGGTGTCCCCTTTTGGGCCTGGTATCATCCTCAACCCACATCCATGGGACGTGGGTCCCCGCTCACTCGCTCTGCCACCCAGCTGCAGCTCCACGTGTCACATGCCACCCGATGACTCTGCCATTCACCCCACCCACCCCTCACCCACGGGCCCGTGGACCGCGGGCGGGCAGGCGTCCAGTCAAGACATCTTTTACTTGTTCCATTCTTTTTATTAATCAAAAGATACAAAACAACCATCATTCTGTAAATGCCCAAGCACCCTGCTGGCCCCCTCATCCCCAAAGTCACACCCTCCTTAGCCGGTCCCCCCACCCTGCTGTGTCACTTCCTCTGCCCCAGCCCAGGGACAGCCCTGGGCGAGGCTGGGGTGGAGCTGGAGGCGGAAGAGGTAGCACCGGACAGACAGACAGACAGGGCTGGGGAAGGGATTAGGAGGTAGGTTCTTAGAGACCAAATTTAATGCCAAATGTGCAGCCCTGTCCCCAGGCCCTTTCCGATCGTTCCCCATAGCCCAGCTCCGCCCCGTCCGCCCCCACTCCCACACGTCCCGACCCCTGAGCACCCCTCCACATCCATCCGTGCCCCGAACCCCCCCGCCGAGCGTCCCTCTGGTGGGGACTTCCAGGCCCATGGAGGGCAGAGACCCCGGGAAAGGCCCTTATGATCCTACAGCTCGCAGAGGCGGGGCAGGCGCAGGCGCGGGTAGAGTGGTGGTGGACAGAGGTTTAATTTCCAGGCCTGCAGTCTCTAAGGTCCCCTCTTCCCGACATCACCCCCCGCCCCCCAGAATTCCAGGGGCAGGTGCTCAGCTGCCCCTGACGGCGGGGCTCTCCAGCTTCACGCTCTTGGCCGCTTCTCCGATCAGCTCCCAGAAACTCCCGAACTCCAGTTTCGAGTCCTCGCAGCTGCCCAGGCCGGCGATCCTCTCTTCCAGCCCACAGTCGCTCTGCGGGGAGAGGAGGCAGAGCTCAGCGAGGCGGCCGCGCTGGCCCATCTGCCCGCCCGCCCCGCCCAGGGGCAGGAAGCAGGGGCGGCCTGGCTGGCACTGGCGAGGGGGAAGGGCGAGGGCTCGCTAGTGCCAGGGGTGGTGGCCCAGTGGGTGGGGCCTCGGAGCGCTCGCTTGGGGAGTCTGTCCTGCCTAGGGCAGGTCAGGTCACCCCCCTTAGTACCGGCATGAGGTGGGGCAGCTGCTGGGCGACCAGGTCCCGTAGCTCGGAGGGGGTCAGGGTCTCCTTCCCGCCCTCCACCGAGTACTGGTGAAAGTTCTTGATGAGGGTCTCAATGGCCCTCTCCACGTCACTGAATTCCTGAGCATCCTGAGGGCAGGAGACATCCCCCAGGTCAGGGAGGCTCCGCCCCACCCCACAACACCCTGCATCCCCAGGAGCCGGGCCAGGCCAACAGGGCAAAAGACGGTTGGAAGGCACACGGGCTCCCGCCCACTCCAGAGCCCAGAACCCAGCACCACTCGCCGCAGACGGCCTCTGCCCTGAGCCACAGGTCGGACAAGGCTTTCTCCCCGCCGCCCACGGCCCCCTCCCCTCCCGGGCAGGGCAGGTCCCAGCACGTGGCCGGAACGCT